GGCAACAGGAGTGGCTCCAATCCCATGTGTTTTACGTATGCTCCTATCGATTGGGCCTCACCTGGAGCACGATTCTTTGATGTTCTACGTATGTTTCTATAGATGGTCCTTCTCCTGTGTACACAATCCTAAATGTTTTACTCATGTTCCTATGTATTGGGCCTCTCCTGGGGCACGAGTCCTTGGTGTTTTACGCGTGTTCCTATAGATTGCCCTTCTCCTGTGGCTCTAATCCGCAATGTTTTATGTACGTCTGTTGCTATAGATTGCGCCTCTCCTGGGGCACGAAACCTTCCTAGGAGGTCCCAGGAGGTCCCAAGAGGCTCCTGGAGACCCCAGGAAGCCCCAGTAGGTTTCAGGAGGCCCCAGGAGGCCCCAGGCTCATGCACAGAGACGCGCTCGTACTACTGAGGCTCATTCACACTCCAATTCATTCGCAGTTAGATTGATGTCCAGACCGTCACAACTGAAGCCCGTTAATATTCGAAAGCTCTTGCGCCTAGACATTCACGGCGGACAGGTCCATGCGAGTAGATGCACATATGGGGAGCTCCACGCAGTGAATAATTATTTGGACGCCTTCTACTCCTCCTCCTCCCTCCTCCTCTTTTCTCCTCCCCTCCTGTCGGACATTCTGAGACTTGCTCATACACAGACTTACTCATACTCTGACTTACTCATACTCAGACCTACTCATACTCAGACTTACCCACACTCAGACATACTCATACACAGATTTACTCTTACACAGACTCACTCATACACAGATTTGGAGGATGTCTCGAGCGCGGCGCTCATTTCAGCACCCCTAAGGGGAGCCGCCAGGGGTGTTTGCACGGGCTCGTTCGCGGCCATTTTGTGGTGATGTCTCAGGCGGTTTGCCTGTTTCTGGGCCCAACATCCTTCGCTTTCGGAGCAGATTTGGAGGATGTCTCGAGCGAGGCGCTCATTTCAGCACCCCTAAGGGGAGCCGCCAGGGGTGGTTGCACGGGCTCGTTCGCGGCCATTTTGTGGGGATGTCTCAGGCGGTTTGCCTGTTTCTGTGCCCAACATCCTTCGCTTTCGGAGCAGATTTGGAGGATGTCTCGAGCGAGGCGCTCATTTCAGCACCCCTAAGGGGAGCCGCCAGGGGTGGTTGCACGGGCTCGTTCGCGGCCATTTTGTGGGGATGTCTCAGGCGGTTTGCTTGTTTCTGGGCCCAACATCCTTCGCTTTCGGAGCAGATTTGGAGGATGTCTCGAGCGAGGCGCTCATTTCAGCACCCCTAAGGGGAGCCGCCAGGGGTGTTTGCACGGGCTCGTTCGCGGCCATTTTGTGGGGATGTCTCAGGCGGTTTGCTTGTTTCTGGGCCCAACATCCTTCGCTTTCGGAGCAGATTTGGAGGATGTCTCGAGCGAGGCGCTCATTTTCACTCCCCAGGTGGGCCAGAGTTTGAGGATGTATCGATCGGTTTGCTTGTTTTGGTGGCCAGGCTCGTGGGCGCAGTTCTTCTCAGGATGCCACAGGCGGCTCCAGGAGGCCCCAGGAGACCACATGAGGTCCCAGGAGGCATCAGGAGGCCACAGAAAGACTCAAGATGCCACAGGATGTCCCAAGAGGCTCCAGGAGGCACCAGGAAACTCCAGAAGGCCTCAGGAAACCACAGGAGGCCCCAGGAGGCAACAGGAAGCGCCAGGAGGCCTCGGAAGGCAACAGGAGGCCCCGAGAGGCCCCAGGAGCAGGAGGCCTCAGAAGGCAACAGGAGTGGCTCCAATCCCATGTGTTTTACGTATGCTCCTATCGATTGGGCCTCACCTGGAGCACGATTCTTTGATGTTCTACGTATGTTTCTATAGATGGTCCTTCTCCTGTGTACACAATCCTAAATGTTTTACTCATGTTCCTATGTATTGGGCCTCTCCTGGGGCACGAGTCCTTGGTGTTTTACGCGTGTTCCTATATATTGCCCTTCTCCTGTGGCTCTAATCCGCAATGTTTTATGTACGTCTGTTGCTATAGATTGCGCCTCTCCTGGGGCACGAAACCTTCCTAGGAGGTCCCAGGAGGTCCCAAGAGGCTCCTGGAGAACCCAGGAAGCCCCAGTAGGTTTCAGGAGGCCCCAGGGGGCCCCAGGCTCATGCACAGAGACGCGCTCGTACTACTGAGGCTCATTCACACTCCAATTCATTCGCAGTTAGATTGATGTCCAGACCGTCACAACTGAAGCCCGTTAATATTTGAAAGCTCTTGCGCCTAGACATTCACGGCGGACAGGTCCATGCGAGTAGATGCACATATGGGGAGCTCCACGCAGTGAATAATGGGGTTATGTTTTTTCCCTGCCGCGCCGCACCCGCGTCTCACCTCCCCCCTCACCTTTTCTTTCTCGCACCAGAGCGGGTGTGCAGAGGGGGATGGTCCCTGACCTCGGCCGCTATGCACGACGGTCGTGGCAGGCGTGGCATTTCCTCTTAGCCACAGGGGGTGCGCTGAGGGTGGGGGCCCTATGCGCTGCAGGCTCCCAGGGCGTGGCAGGCGTGGCATTTCCTCTTAGCCACAGGGGGTGCGCTGAGGGTGGGGGCCCTATGCGCTGCAGGCTCCCAGGGCGTGGCAGGCGTGGCATTTCCTCGACGCCACAGGGTGTGCGCTGGGGGTGGGGGCCCTATGCGTTGCAGCCAACGCATAGGAGGAGGAGGAGGAGGAGGAGGAGGAGGAGGAGGAGGAGGAGGAGGAGGAGGAGGAGGAGGAGGAGGAGGAGGAGGAAGACGGGCAGCAGCAGCAGCAGCAGCAGCAGCAGCTGCAGCAGCAGACGCAGCAGCAGCAGAAGCAGCAGCAGCAGAAGCAGCAGCAGGAGGAGGACACCGAGGAGGAGAAGGAGGAGCAGCAGCACAAGCACCGATGATACACATGGAAAATAAAATAGGTATGTGGGGTTCCTCGGTAGCGTGATTTGGCGGGCGCCACCCCGCGATTCGCTTGAGCTGGGAACCGCTTCTTTTTCATAGCAAATTACACGAGCCCCATTGATTTGTTAATCACACGCTGACATTACCCGGGCGAGTGGAGGTTGCAGAAAGGCGTGTCCTCCTACCCGTTCATGTGGAGGTTGGGCGGGATTTCCACGATGGACGACCAGGCCCGCGAGGAGTGGTAGTGGGGGTGGGTCCAAACTCCAGGCGCCCGACCTCCGCGGAGGTGGAGGAACTGCTTCGGGAGCACGTGCGCTATCGCGCGACGGCCGCCAATCCGTAGAAGTTGACCGGCAGTTCCGAGTCCATCGTGCTTCATTGATGTTCTCCGTCCCCTCCGCGCAAGCCAGCGCTTGTCACGTCTTTATTTCGCAGTGGGCTCCCGGGCCAGAAGTTCGAGGCAACCGGCATGTGTTGCCCACTTTAGCAGCAGCGTGACATACTTGACCCCCGCCGTGTCGTAATCCTTCGCCCCTGTATTCAGGCGATGTACAGCGAAACAGACCTAAATTCAAAGCAGGGGGCACGTCGTGCTCAGCAGTTTTTTTTCGGCACGGAGGCCGCCACGCATCTTCGTTCGACAAGTTGGCCCGGAGAGGTCTCAGTTCACGTCCATGAGCGCAGCTCGCAGGCACGCGAGGGGTTTTGCGCAGGCGAAGCTGCATTATTTGTTTGTCTTGTCGTCCACCTTTGATGATCCCCCGCTTTGTTCCTTTTCGTGTAGCAGCTCAGTCGCCTTCTGACCGCAGTGTACTCCTCAGTGGCCCGTCGGATTCTCACCAATTCGCCCATGCTCGAGGCTCTCCGCAATCCTGATCCGAGCTCTTAAGGATTCAAGGATGGGCCCAGCACTGAGAGGCATTGGAGGTCGCCAGCCCTTTGAAGTCCATGGACCAGCCCGGGCACAAGCACCCTGGTACGAAGTATCGGAATCTGAGCTGCACGGCGCGAGAGTGGCACACACGTTCCTTCCTATTCTTCTCATTGGCCCCCCATTCCTCCCTTACGTGGCCGCTTCGCGTGCGCGCGCCATCAACAACACCGCTTAGTTCCGTGCGGCACCTTCAAGGGCGCCCGAGACAGCATGCCCATCACTTACACATGGGGCGCCTGGCTTTCCAGCGGCAGAGCTCCACAAGACATTGCCAATACGTCCGTCGGGCCCACAATCACTCATTGGCTTGATGTGCGCGAACCCAGTTCGCTTATATAGTGTGAGCCGCAACTCCCCACGAAAGTGCCCGCAACCGCTCCATCCGTCTTCCTATTTCGGTACTACTTCCTCCTCTTAGCCGCTACCTCATCTCAACCAGGAACTTGTAGCCCTCCGACTTTGTTCAAGAGCCTCCAGACAAGTTTGGTGTTCCATGCCTGTTCCGCCCCCTAGACCTGCTCGTCTAACGTGATGGCTGTATCTGGCAAGTCATGTCTACAATTCCGACTGCTGTTCATGCCAACGTGGGCAACAGCCCATCCGCGTGCCGACCTAGCGGTGCAGGGTCTTGCTTGTCCACCCCTCCTTCATTTTTCCCCCCCATCCCCATCAGGCATCACCGTTCCCTCCCGTCATAGCGGTTGGCCGCATCGGGAGCGAAGAACGCTCGCGCGATTTAACCGTTTGGGCTTTGGGCCTGTGGGCCCGCCTTTGGGTACATTGCGCCTCTGCACGCCAAGCTGTGGCACACGACGCTCTCAAGCCAAAGCCCTCCCTGGTCCTGTGCCGTCGTCCCCCGCTCTGCCTCACTCCCCCCTCACTCCTCCGACCTCCTCTTCCCCTTCTCCCCACCCTTACTCCTCCGACCTCCTCCTGTCGTTGTCCACTCCTCTCATGCCCATTTATGCTTCCTCATCCGCCCTCCTTCGCCCGCGTCCTCCTCTTCCTGCTCTTGTCCTCATCCCCATTCCTCCTCCCGCTGTTTCTCCTGTCGCCGCCCCCGCTCTTTCCAGGCCCGACTGCTTTACCCTCTTTCATCCCTTCTCCCCTCTACCCCCTATGTCGCATTCCTCCCCTATCTCTCTCTCGCCCCCCCCATCCCCCACCCCACTTCTCAGGCGTACACGCCTTTCACGGCGTTCATGTCAAAGGTGGATAAGGCTCGCAGCCAAGTGAGGGGAGGAGGAATGAGAGAGGAGGGGGGCGAAGTGCCACGGTGGACTCGCGGGATGGCTCGAGGGGCTCAAATCGAGGCCACGCATTTGCGTGGCGGTCGGGGGGTGAGCTGGGTCGGAGGAAGGAGAAGCGACCCACCACCAGTGGGCCACTTCCAGCGAGGAGGTCCACGATGCCACCCCGAGCTGACGATGGGAGATGTTTCCGCTGGGACGCCGCAAATACAGGGGTACCCGCCAACAGTAGGAGCGCGCCCCGTGCCTCTGGTGGCGCTGGTATCGTAGTTCCCTCTCCCTGGCCAGGTCGGGCAGACCGCTCAACGATGACCCCGATGTCAACCGGTACGGCCCGAGAGGGCCCCAAGGTAGGCTCAAGGAGGGCCCGCACGGTTGTCCTCGCTGTGACCCCACGGAGTCTCACATGCTGCCCAACGACGGTCCCAAAGGCCCCCCACGACCCCCCAGAAAAGTTCCCCCGAGACCTCCCAAAGGCCGCCCACGGAGGGTCTCGGGATGCCTCTCCAGCCAGTGATAGTCTGCAGCGTTCTCACCGTGCCGCCCCGGAGCGTGCAGTACTGCTCCTGGTGCGACACCATCTGGAAGCTGATCGGGGCGGCCGAGGCCGCCCCTGGGCGCCGTCAGGGCACCACCGGGTTTGAGAACCCCAGCGCAGGGCGAGCAGCTCGAGAGGGCGGGCTTGGCGGCAGCTCTCTCGGCGGAGGGAGCGCGGAGCTTCGGGGGAGGATGGGCGAGGCGCTCGCCTCCAGCCTGTGCCCGTTGCAGTCTGAGTGCCGCGGTGCCCGAGATCGGGAAGGGAAGCATGAGGAGCGAGGGAACGGGATGGCGAAGGGCAGGGGAGCGGAGAGGAGAGGGAGGAGGAGGGGTCGGAGGAGGAGGGTGGAGGGGGGCCAGCCGGGAGAGGGGGGAGCAGACGAAGGAAGATTGCGAGGATGGGTCTGGGGCCAGAGGCCTGGCGAAGTACAAATAGTCCATCCAGCCATTTCTCCGGGTGTTTTTACGAGCATGGCCCCAGACGACGACTTGCACTTTCGCCAGGAATTCTCTTGGCTTCTTTATTTCTGAGACAAGGAAAATCGGCCGTCCGCGTACATCGCCTTTCACTCTATGGGGGCGAACCTCAATCCGAATTGCGACCCGAGTCACCTAACGTGTTGTTCAGACGGCGTGCGCGAAGTGTTGTGCGCATTTTTCCACTGTTCCGCTAACAGCGGCGCCGCGTCTAGTGTCTCCTCAGTGGAGGAGCTGCATAACGTGCGTTCCAGAGGCTCCAATGTTTTCAAAAACACTCCAGCAGGCTCAGAAAGTTCTGGCAAGGAGGAAGGGCAGTTCAGGATTGCGACAAGCTAGGCACGCGCCCCACATCTGACATCCCATCGCTTGAACCATTCGTTTTTATTGTGCTGATGTTTGTCTCGATCCGCCGATGGGTGTGCTCGTTGAGCTGGAGTCCCCAAATGCTTCCATCGTGTGTTACGCAGTCCGGTCGGTCAGTCATGGATGGCCCCCCTCGTCTGAGGCCGCTCCTCAAGCTACGCTGCTACCTGGCCGTGGTTTGGACTACCACCCCGGGACTCTTCCGCATCACCCCCTGGCACAACGTTGCTCATCGCCTTCGTGGTGCTCTTCCTCCTCCTGGGCGTGGACCTTATCAAGTGGCACGTCCTTCTCTGCAGTGCTTGAGGCTGGTGTTCGCGATGCGCCGTCGACGGCAACACCTTCCTTCTCCTTCGCCCTCCAGGTCTTCGCCCCCGGTGCCAGTCCGCGGCGTACCTGCTCCTGCACGTCCACTTCGGCACCGCCTGCACCCCGGGCTCCGCCCGCTCCGGCCGCCTGTGGCCCCGCCTTCCTGTGCCTGTCTCCCTAATTAAAGCTGTGCGTAGCCCGCCTAGCTTTTAGCGGAAGAGGTTCGCTCTCGCCCCGCAGATAAAACAAATGTGTTACGCAGTCCGAAAGGGGAGCTGTTTACATTGTAGGAGGCGTGGGCAGGGACGAGTATGATGGGTAAGGCGGAGAAGGAGGAGGAGCAACAGCAGCATGAGCAGGAGCGGGAGGAGCGGAATAAGCATCTGGCACGCGTTGGGACAAGAGCGCCAGTCTGAACGACGGGAGCAGAGCGCCGATCCTGAAATGGGGACAAGGCATCGTTTTGAAAACGCAGTCCCAAGATGCCTTGCTGATGCTGCTTTGGATGTTTGAATTGGCCGCATGGGCCATTCAGCTTCCAGCTCATCCAGTGGTACGGGGGCGGACCGTTCCCAGGGCGATTGCGCATCACTCGTCTTGTAGTTTGTGTTCGCATTCTTGCTCCTCCCGCTCCACCTCCTCTTGCTGCGTGTCGCAACGCAGTCCATGAGCACACCTGTGACTGTGGAGCCGTGCGGTCGTCCCCGTTGCGCTGGCAGACGCAATGTTGAAGCACAGGCGTTCTGAACAAGACACGCCACTTGCGAACTAAGTACTTGCGCTAGTGCGCGCAAGAAACAGTATGCGGGAGAGGCGGGCCCCCGTTCGCACAGTATCTGGTAGAGATTGGGGCAATGCACGCAATGCGTTTCTGCGACGGCAAGGGGAGAGGGAACGCCAGGGAAGGACAAGTGAGGCTTGGAGGGTTGGGGGCGTGAGCGGCGAGAGAGCAGGCAGAGAGAGGGGCGGGGGACGGAAGGGAGGGAACAACCTTGTCCATCGCAACGTTCCAGGCCCCCAACGGAAGGAATAAAGATGGGGAGGATCACGCGGATGAAGAGGAGGGACGCACAGGGATTTAGGATGACAAAGAAAGTCGTAGGAGCACCAGGAGTTCGCAAATATGGGTGCGTGGAGGTGAAACGGGGATGAGGACGGGTAGGATGCGGTGTAGGAGCGGAGGGGAAACAGTTCAACTAAAAATAAGCGCGCGCTCAGCACATGTGCGCGCGCGTTGTTCTGACAGTCGCCGCACTAATCCAGCGTCGCGACTGGAGCCATCCTGGGGGTTTCTTGGGGCCGCTGTGGGGCCGTTTGGGGAGCCTGTTGGCTTCTCTTGGCTAGGGGCCCCTCATGAGCCGTCTCGGGGCTCTCTGAGCCATCTCAGGGGGTCTCGTTGGGCGGTCTGGAGGCCCGATTTGGCCCTGGTGGGGCTCTCGTCGGCTGTTCTGAGACCCATCCAGGGTCCCTCTTGCGGCGTCTTGGGGCGCTTCCTTGAGTTTGATCGGGCCGCTCTGGAGCCGTCATGGGCCCCTCCAGGGCGCCTCCCAGGGCCACTCGGGTGCCTTGTTGGGCCACAGTGGGCTGACCCTGGAGGCCTCTTGCGCCGTCTGTGGCCGAGACGGCTAGGGCGCCAAAATCTTCCAAGCACATGAGGATGGTACTCGCACGTGCATCAGATCTATCTGATGTGGCACTCTTCGGGGCCTCATTGGGGTCGGATTCGGGCCCCCTTGGGGCCGTCGAGTAAGCTCGTTGCTCTATATTGCGTTGCGGCCATCTTGTGCCGCCTTCGGCTCGTCTTTCGGGCTTCTCCGAGGGGCCTCATGAAGTCTTCTTGAGCCATGTTGGGCCGCCTGGGGCCCTCCGGGGCGCTCCAATCATCCTTCCTGGTCGCGACCCAATGTGTGTCGTATCATGTAAGTTTGATTCGGGGGACGGGATTTGTTAGCACAGCCGTAGTTCTGTGCACATGTATTTTTGGATCCGCATGCGTCCATGTCGTCATGCAGATATGCATTCCTCATGCGTGTTGAGACACGCGCGCAGCTTGTCATACTGCAGGCGGCTGCAGCTTGGTGCACGCGCGCAGCTTGGTCTGTGAACTGTGTTGTGTATTGCCGCCGTTCGCCAGCTACTGCCACTGTTCATGCACATGTGTTGAGAGGAGGGCGAAGGCCTGGACCTCGACGCGTACATATGTACATGTGCTTGTGGGCTTGCACGCGCGGACGCCGTGCACGACCCGCGCAATCTGCTCGGGCGGTCGCGCGCAGCAGCGCGCAGCACGGGCGCGGGCACGATACGGAGAGACCCAGAGCCCGAGCCTTGACCTATAACATACAACCGCGCAGTGACAGCGGCCTTCCCGGTACAGCTACGCATGCCTCAAGTGTATCGGGGGCGGAAAAGAGGGGGGTGATGACTAGGGGTGTGTGTGGATATCATGGCTGGGGTCATGATATTTCCCCAGATTTCATGGCGCCTCTCCTTATTTCATTACGTCCCTGGCCCCCCCGCTGGGCCACGCACATGCCGCCGGTCATGATTTGCACCCCCCCCTCTTGGACACCCCCCTCTTGGCCGCTCCCGTTTGTACGATCAGTTTGGGAACCTAGTTCGATAGCCATTCAGTCGCTCAATGTGGAGTTCGGAGCTGCGTCACCTGTGGGCAGAAGAGATGTGTGTTCGCTGGCCGACCCGCCGGTCCATTCCTGCCACGCGGGGGGAGCCGTGGCCCGCGCTCCGGGGGAACACGCCGATCCTTGCCAGACCAGGGGGCCCGGAGCGGCCCAGAGTCCCTCGCGCTCACGAGCAGCCCCCGCGCCGAGCGCCCGTTCCCGCGCGCACCGGCGTCTCTCTCTACACGCTGGCGCGGGCGGCCTGGGCCGGCCGCCCGCAGCAGGCCCTCAAGGAGTCCGAGAAGCGGATCGCCAAGGCCGCCGGCGTTCGTCGCTCGGCTGCCGCACGCCGCCTCGGCACCCGCCTCTGGCCGCGGAGCGGTCTGCTCCTGCTCGACCTCCTCGCACCGCCCACCAAGCCACCCCAACGCAACCCGAAGGCTTCAATTTTCCCTCCACTTCCAGTGGGTAGTCTCCCTCCTCCTGCTTCGGCGCTTGGCCGCGGCCTGCGGAGCCTTTCTCGAGAGACGACACGCCCCCGGCAGTGGCTCCCTTGCAGAGCCCTGTCGTGGACCTCTGGTCCGATCCGATCTTATTCCTCCTGTTCCTCCTTCTGCTTCTCCTCCTGCTCTTCCCCCTGGTCCTGCTCCTCGCCCTTCTCTTTCAGCTCCTGCTCATCCTGCTCCTGCTCCGCGAGCTCCTCCTCCCCGTCCTTCTCTAGCTCCTCCTCCTCCTATTCCTCCTCCTATTCCGGAAGCCTGAGCCCTTCTCTTGTTCATCCTCCCCCTCCTCTACCAAATTGCTCGAACCACGCGAAAGCGACGTCGTGGCCGCCATTCGTGAATTGGAGTCCCCGCACTCACGCCGCGGACCATGGACGGCCCTGTGTTCGAGTCCTCGTCCTCCTCCGCACCTTTTGCCAGAAGCGAGGGGAGTCCAGCGGCAAGGTGAAGGGGCGACGGACGACCTATTCAGACGACGAGGACGACGAGGGGGAGAGAGTTGCTGTTGGCTTGTGCATCCGATTCAACCGCTGGCTGGTCAGGATAAAACGGCATGAATCTCGCTAACAATGAAACTGGAGCTGGACTCCCAACAGTGCACAGCAGGCGCCGATTGAGGAATACAAGATTCATGTGGACGTTCGGCACGGGCGCCAAGGCAGAGCTCTAAGACCAGTACAGAGGAGCCTCCGCGACGAAGCCGCCGGACCGTGTAGCCCCGAAGCGCCGAGGCTAAAGGAGGAGCAAATCCAACCCATATCATCCACACCCCGCACGCCTCCTGTCCACCGCCCCCCTTCAAGTCAAACGGCCTACCAAACACAGACCGTCAGGCGCAGGCGCTCGCAGCAATGCGAGGAGGGAGGGGTGGGGGATGAAATGCCGAGAAGGAGAGAGAGTTCGACTGGCACACAGATCCAACACCTCCTGCCTCGGGAGGAGGGCGGAAGCGAGAGTGAGGCAGAGGCTGGTGCACACATTTGACACCTCCGGCACGATTGGCGCTGCTTGCAAGCCCGTGCTGTAGTCTTGCTGAGAAGGGCAGGAAAAATATTTTCGGCCCCCATCCGAGCACAGTATATGACCACCACCACCAAGACCGGCGCCTGCGAGCTGCGAGCTGCGCCGCGAATGCGAGCTACCCATGCTACAGCGCCTGCGAGCTGCGCCGCGCTCCTTTTCGCCGTGTCCGGCAGCGTCGCCTGGCATGACCCTGCCCCTAACCCTTTTTGCGGTAAATTCCTGTTGCGGGCGGTGGTGGTGTATAAAAATGGGCCTCGCACCCCCACCCGGGACGCACGACGAGACGGCGGCGGGGCACCTAGGCTGGGATACATATCTAACACCTCCGGCACGAGTGGCGCTCCTCGCGAGTCCGTGCTGCAGTCTTGCTGCGAAGGGCAAGAAGAAGATCTTCGGCCCCCCGCCCGGGGCGCGCGACGAGGCGGCGGCGGGGCACCGCGGCGGCTAGCTATCCGCGCGCAGCTCCGAGGGGGGAAGCGCGCGACGAGCCGAGCGTGGCCTCGGGCAGCCTGGCTGCCAGCTCGCGGCGCGCACGGCGAACGTTTTATGGCCTCTCTCAAGGCGCCCAACTCGCAGAGGAGGGAGGATGGGGGGGAGTGGAGGAAGGAGGCGGAGAGTGGGGAGGAGGGAGGAGGAGGAGGAGGGGGGAGGAGGGAGGAGGGGGGAGGAGGCGGGAGGGGGAGGAGGGAGGGGGGGGAGGGGGGGAGGAAGGAGCAAGCGAGGCGACACCCGCGCGGCGCCGCGCCCGCTCGGTCCCCTTCTCCTCGTCCTCGCCGGTGTCCCCCCTCGGCTGTCGACCAGACGTGTGGCGGCTCCTACGATTAAGTTGGGCCTGTCCCTCTACAGGGGGAATATTCAAAAATAGTTTAAACAATAGACTGGGGGACTATTTTTCGAGCATTTTTTAAATTAATTTTTGAGTATTCATGAATAGTTTTAATTTTTCATCGAAAATTCCTCTGTAGGGGGACACGCCCGGCTTAATCCTACGAGATCGAGAGGCCGGATTTGGGTAGTTTTCGGCGTCTGGAGGGTGTCGTGAGCCGTACCAATGGACCATCAAAATCCGACTCGGGATTCAAAGCCAGCCCCTGGGAAGGGTCGAGATGTCTGGGGGGCAATGTCTCGACACGATAGAGCCGTCGGATGCTTGAGGCCTATCCTCGTCTACGTCCTAGGTCTATCTTCTTAATGATCCTCCGTGAGGTCCCAGTACTCTTATATTGTATCGCCCGTGACGTTCGTACTATTTTCGCTGATCGCATTTTGGTCACCATCTGGTCCTTTAGCAGCCCGGTGGCTGCAGTCCTGGGTACGGCCTGCGTGTGGGCTCTTCCAGGCACCAACGGCCTCGCAAGTACAAGGCATGTGACCAGGTCCTCCTGGCGCCAGGAGACCAGCCGACTTGGCACGTCGGATCCCGAAGTATGCATCTTCGGGCGATGAGGGCAAACCTTCAAGGTTGCCTGGAACCCGCGTGAACGCGTTTCTGTTCTCGCCGGACGCCCCCCGACAAGGGGAATGTCGTGCTGAACCATTTTCACGACACTTTACGCGAGCCCCCCGTGGGGTGGATGCGAGTTCATGCCGACAGCACCGATTATATGTCAGGAGATCTCTGGAGATTCCGTCGTTTACCGGAAAAGTGCATCGGCCGGATGGGCGAGGGAGAACAACTGTGGACGCTTGATTGCGGGTAAGGGCGGGTCAGTTCAGAGGGGCATTGGGCGAAGGTTGGTACGTAAGCAGCCGCACAGTGCATACAGTCGGACCGAGGCATAAGAGCGAGGTCGTTTCGGGGAGTGTACCTTAGTGTTTTTCGTGTTTGTTGGATGTTTGTGTGCATCCTGACGAGGGTACTCTGGCATGTTCTTTCTGTTTTTTGGCCCACGGAGGGTCCCATGTTCTTAAGGGATGTTCTTCTGGCCTAGGTCCGTCTGTACCTAAGCACCTCGCTTCGGAAAGACATCTTGAACCCCGACTTAGAGGTTCACTGCGACACGCAAGGGAGTTGATTTGACCGATTGACCAGATGCCTTCAGCATCAGCGGCTGTGTTGTGGGCGTAGTTCCGAGGTTCATCCGAGATCGACTTTGAGCTCCCATAGGTTGAATCGGCCACAGTATCTTGCAACGCTCCGAGGCAAGGCCAGGTTTTTTTCATGCTTCCGACGACATGGGCGGAGCTTGCATCAGGGAGGCCAGCGGTCCAGGCATCGATAGCAGTGGCCGCCGACGGCGTTGACGATTGCCTTGTGAGGGAACCTGTGTGACTGGACTGGCCGAGGAACGCGTCGCGCTAGAGCGGACCTCCCGAATCCCCACCTGGGTGGTAGGCATCCGCACGCGCTGCTGGCGCAGCGAGGCGAGAGAGGTGAGGGCCACGACGGGAGTGTTGAGCATCGAGTGCGACGACGGCTGGCAGCGGTACTTTGGCGCTGACCCGAAGTGGCGAGGGCTTGTGAAGACGCATTCCGGCAAGCTTCTGCGCGGCGGCAAGGGCAAGGGCAGCGTCAAAAGCGGCAAAGGCGACGGCAAGGCAGCAAGGTAGCAGCGAGTTCGATCGCCTGCCAGGGGCAGCACTGGCCGACGGGCATTGGAGATGCTTGACCAGAATTTCATGTCAAGTATGGTGATACTTTGAAGTTGCACGTTTACGGCAAAAACGCACGTGTAGATGTTTTTGATCGGTTAGGGCACTTGATAGGAGGACTTTCAGATTTGGCATGGGGTGTTACTTGTTTTAGCGAGACCCGTGCAGCATCTGATGACAGTGATCTCGACGGGGGCCATCGCTTGATAGACGCAGCGGGCTATCCAGATACGCTGGGGTGGCTGTTTGCCGGCATGCTCGGCACGCGGGAGGTGCCACGGGTATTCGTTCTCGTTACGGCCGTGTGCTAGCAGTTGATATTAAGATGCATGGCGTTGTTTACACGTTCTTCTTTGTATGCATGCCACGCGCGGGGTATCCGCACGTCGATTTGGTAGACTGCCAGGCATTCTCAGAGCAGGGTCGATTTTGTCAGGGGGCGACACCGGACACCATGCATAACTGGCGAATATGCCCCCACAGCTTGACATCAGCCAAAAATGGCGATTACTGCAACCGTCTTGTTTTGAGAACGGCCTTGAGGCCGGCAGCTTTCGACATGCGCCTGATACGTGGACTTTACGAAGTTCGCTCGGTGCCAAGCTGATTTTGGATTCTATGCTGTTTGATGTTTTTTTTCGTTGCCGATCTTGCTGCCCACGTGGCTCTTTAGACATGGGCGCTGCGTGACACCATTGGTTCTAGGCCCAAGTTCTCAACGCCAGAAGGGGCGCCAGCACGACGCGGCTCGGGGGAACCCGTCTCTGGACGCCGAGGGCCGTGATTGTGTTTATGAGAGTTTTGTGCAAGAGTCTCTGTCTGAATCTCTGTCGTCCTCCCTCCCTCCCTCCCTCTGTGACCTGGAGGGCCACGTTGTCGCGTCAACCAAGCAAGCATCGATTCAGAGTGACGCTGTTCGTCCAGATGCGAAGCCACAGGGCGCACCTGAGATACGAGAGATGCGCTCTGGAAGCGGCGAAGCACACGTGACCCACAACAGCGGTCTAGATTTTGCATGCCCATTGTTAAGAGAGCGCCGTAGACGCACGCCGCAATACTGTGATGCGCGTGCTGTTTGGCAGCTGTTGAAGTTCGAAAGTATCAAGAAAATAACTACCTCGGGTGCACATGTCCCCTTCGCAGCAGAGCAAGCGTCGTCGATTCTATTGCGATGTGTTTAAGGCTTCGCTCGGATCGGT